GGCAAATTACCACAGTTAAAAGAGGGTAAAGATATTAATGAAAATAAAAATAGAAAAAACACATATGAAGCTTTTTCATTTTGAATCAAGCATAAAGTTCTACAAAACAACAAAAAACAATAAACATTTTAGGTGGTAAACATATTACATCGTTATTGTACATGATATGAAAAATACAACAAGTATTATAATTTGTTTTAAAGACTTGTTATGCAAGTATTGAATCTGACATTTATGGGAACATTACTTTGACAAGTTATGCTGGTGAAGATTCTCAGTCATCAAGGACATGATAAATTCAAAAAATGTTAAATACAAAAAACAACTGGACTTTATTTGTTATTTAGTTTTTTCATTTAGTTTTTATTGTTATTTAGTTGTTATTTATTTGACAAGTTATAGTCACTTTCCTGTAAACATTGTCAGATGAAGCAATAACGGCAAACACCATAAGAAATGATCTGCCTTTAAGAGTCAGTCAGTTTTGACAACACAGTGATGGTTGATGCTCCGGCCTGGAGGTTCACATTTTATGTCTGTGGTGCACGGAAACCTGTTATAAGTTCTAATTCAGTAAAATAAACAAGAGACATTATGAAAAGTGGTTAAAATAGGGTGACACTGTCTTATTGGTATTCGAAAATTATTTCAACACTTCATCAATTGTAAATTATTTAAATTTAAACTTCAGAGTGTGTTTATATTGCAATAAATGAACTGAGAAGAGATGAGATGAACAGAACCAAAGCTGAACAGAACAAGAGCTTGAAATGGGAACACAAGAACAAAACCAACCGGGGAACGAGGAAGAAGAGACAAGAATTTAACTGAATGACTCAAAACCAATAACTTAGATCTGAAGCTCTCGACCTTGACCTCTGTAAGTGGCTTTAAGAATCTGATGGACACCTGGCAAGGACCAATGCAGACATGTTCATGTTTTTAGTTTTCTACATTCACCTTATAATCTAATTGTTTTTGTTACTTTTTTAGCAAAAAAAAAAAAATCTGTATGCCTTTTTATAACTGTTTATTGTTGTCGCTGTTGTCCATTGTTGTCTTCATTCTTTGTTAAATCAGGTCTCTCTTGTAACGAGTCCTCGAGGCTCAATGGGATTTACCTGTCTAAATAAAGGTTGACTGAATGAAAAACTAATATATGCTGCAAGACATTACACATAAACTGTAGGCTTTCTGATTTGAACTGCAATCTAATAGGCAGAACATTTTCAAGGAAAAGCACTCATAAAATAAAATAAAGTAAGGTACAAAACAGAATAAAATAATTACAAAATGAGAATATATAACAGCAATAAAAATATTTAAAAAAAAATCACTAAACCAAATTCAGAAACTGTGTACTCTAAGAGATAAGCTGAGCTAAGTTTAGATAAGATGACTTTCAATGTGCATACAATGCATAATTTTGTTTTGCGTCACATTTTTTCTTGCATTGTATGTTTGGATGTTATGAAGAATGTAAATATAAAACAACTTTCAACTTTCATACGTGCAATTTATACCTGCAAACCATTAAAAACACTACATTTTAAGTGTTATTTGTTTGTTTCTGTTGACTGAGGAGGAACCATGATGTTCATCAGAAAAAACATTGGAGCAGTCTCTAAGATTGTACATTTCAGAATACAAGTTAAACTCCTTGAAGCTTTAATTCATGGACCCAAAAGGATCTTCCACCATGAAATACACATTTTATTGTCCAACAGAATCCACAAGTTTTCCATTTTCAATCCAAACAAAAGTACTACTCTGAAGATGTACACGCTTTGTTGCACTTTGCTCCTTATAAAGTCTAGATGGTCATTTCAAGGCAGGACACCATCTGCACTTGTACCCAGATGTTTACATCTGTTTGCATGTGCACATATACATCTAACTTTAGTTATGACTTGCAGTGGCGTGAATATATGATTCATGAGAAGCTCCAAACAATTTGTTAATTTATAGGAACAGAAGCACTCAGCTGCAACTCTGTACCATCCTAGTTTCATAGAGTTCTGAATTTTCCCTTTCTTCAAACAGTGCACCATAAAAATTTGATGATGCAATTGTTTGGCATTCTGATAACAAAGATAACTAACATGTTCTTATTAGGCACCATGAATAGTTGTCATCACAGGGAAAGGAGGTATGATTAGGTCTCCGCAGCTGTTATCTGTCAGTAAAGAATATGGATCAACCCCTAATACATTTTAGAGAGCAGTTGAATGTAGCAGCATTTCATTTATTGCAGATTTTCAAAAGCCTTGCAAATATACAGGCAAACAGATTATTGTTGGGTCAATCCAAATATTTTGAATAATGATGTGAAATGAGGACGAAACAGATCACCTACGTCTTTAATATCAAAACTAGAGCTACAATGCTCCATGCTCACTAGAGCTATTGATCAAATATCAGCAAAAGGTTTTTGTTTTGCTCATTCGTGAACACTTTCAGGCGATGCAAACAACACATTTATTAGAAAAAAAAAATCATGATAATGGCTATACAATTTGTTCGACAGAATTACATTGCAGTTAATGTAATTTACTTGTGCCTTTGAGGAACTGCTGGATTTTTCTCCCCCTGCACATGCAGTTTTTGTGTCTGTTAATATCGGAGCTTATAGAGTCAGATGTCTTTTGCAGATGTGGTGCACATGAGGACCTCTAATCCGCAGGATACAGACACAGTAACCTTTGGGCAGGTCATTGTGCCTCGTCTGAAGGCAAGAGAGAAAACAAATTACAAAACCTTTAGAAGGACATGATCCAACAGGCTGCATTATTTTTCACTTTCCAATTTCTATATTTAAAACGAAGGACTTTGAATTTAGCATGCGGCAGCACCTAACATTTTAAACAGTTAAAGAAATACTGAAGTCAGAAGGACTGAACATGGTTTTTTTGGTCAATCACCGGATGCGATAACCTCTGTAAGCTGTGGATAACAGTCTATTAAAAAAGAAAATGTTAGGGCAAGTGAACTGACCCAGTTTACCAAAAAAAAAAAAAAAGTGAGGCTAATAATTTATAAACAATTTTGTAGATAATTTCAACAAAGTACTGGTCTGTTTTTTGCGTTTTCTAAAACTAAAAAATAAGATAAAGCATGCCATTAAAGAACATTCTTATGCACAAAAAATATACATTTTTTAATAAAAAATTTGGAACTGTGTACATCTATCATCAGTCCAAATGATATAAGTATGTAAGTATACTATGCAAGTATTTTGCCTTTAACTTCATGTGCCTTTTGAACCATTTTATTTTGGATTGTTCGTCCTGTCCAGATGTTTCTTAGACAAAGGGTGAAGATTTGTGGACCATGTATAAATGCAGCTGTAACAGGTTGTAGTGAATTAGTGAGACTTTTAACAAATCCATATTAGCAATGCTAAAGCCCTTAACATAAAGAAGTCAAGAGCTGGAATAAACCCTGCTGTGACCTGGGGAATAGCATGAGAACAGTTAAAGAAAATGAATGAAACATTTTGGCAGATGTTATAGTTTTATTTATAGAATAGACCAACAAAAGCTTCAGCACATCCAATTCAATCACTAGAAAATAATGGTGCCATTAATGTTTATGAGCACAAAATGTTTTCTTGTAACATGATTTTGAGTCCAGGGATCTTCAGTTCAGCCAACAATTTGACATTTAGTAATAAAACAATTTCATTGTAAAATAATGTAATTTTAGCTGCAATCATGATATGTTTTGAGACCTTTTCAAATATTATTAACTAAATCAAAACGCACAAAGTTATGTGTGTGTTTCATTATGTTGTGTCAATTTTCTTCTTTATTTTAAACATCATTCAGGACTAAACAAACAAAACAAAGGTCAGCTGTTGGTCTCAACCCAATTTTCTAATAACATCTCCATCCCTTGCCTTCAGCATTTTGGACAATCTGTGGACTTTTCAGTGATCCCTCTTTGGTAAAAGGCAGAATTCACATTTATGAGACATAGTTTTGTATAGCTGGCCAAAGTGGGGCACTAATGGTGAAATTGGGTTATATTTCCTATATAAACTCCCTAAATATGATTTTGGCATTGTCACGTTTATAAAGGAGTCATATGTATGCTAGCATTGCAATGCAAAATAGAAACAAAAATGCTTACACTTTCTAAGTTTGTTCATTATTATCTTGGTATTTACACCTCATAGTATTGTCTTTTGTTACTAATATTAATTTTACTGTCCATATCTCATGAGCTAATTCTGAGTGTGAGAGGGACCGAGAATAATGGAGATTTCTGACATCGTAAAACAATTACAGTCTCAAATGGTTCATGCAGATGTGATTTTAAAAACCTTTACATCATCATCAATTTCACGTTAAAGTAATTTTTGCATATATTATAACATTTCTGCTGGGATAACACTGCCAAGCACAACTGATGGTGGTGTAAAGTTTTCTAAAGTATCTTTTGGATGAAATACAATAAACTTCAAGTTCAGGGTTCTTTATTCGCATCATGTGTGGTACATGAGGTAGAATGAAAATGTGTACTCAAGATCCCAGTTACACTCCAAAACAGCAACAATATAAAGTAAAAAATAAACAATATATAAGAATCTAAGATATACATTAATATATATGCTAAACGAATGCTAAACGTTACGCCAAAAAAAATAAAAAATGCTATACTTTGCGAGACTAAAATAGTTTTAAGATAATATCAGTCTATTTTGGAATTGTCCACATTTGGAATAGCCATTAGTTCATCATTACAGTCATAATTAAACTTTATTTTCTAAAGTGATGCTGTTCAAAGAGCTATTTACAAGTAAGATATTAGTTCCTTGTAAACCTTTCCACAGAACCTTACTTTAAAAACATCTGGACTATTGCTTCACACAAAATGAGCTTAATGTGAAAGTGCATAACAAACAACTGTTCAACAAAGATTTACAAATAAAACACAAGCAATATATTTGCTCATTAGGACAAAGGTCCTTTTTAATAGTTGGTCTATTTTTCATGCAGATGAAGACCACACTCTGCGGATCATTCTCTACTCTCTCATCTTCTTCCTGAGTGTATTTGGCAACCTGCTGATCATCGTTGTGCTCACTGTCAACAAGCGCATGCGCACCGTCACCAACACCTTCCTGTTGTCCCTCGCCGTCAGTGACCTGATGATGGCCATCTTCTGCATGCCCTTCAACCTCATCCCCAGCATCCTGAAGGACTTCATCTTTGGAGCTCCTATGTGTAAGATAGTGGTCTACCTCATGGGTGAGTTGGGAGATGGACTTGGGACATATTCATAATTCTGTACACAATAAACAACTAATGCTGTTGTTTTAGAGGACAGGTCTAAGGCACACCATTGGGCTATGTCATAAGCACATTTTTAAATACTTTTTCAGAAAAAAGTGCAACTATGTGTAACAACACAAGCAAAAATCTTCACACTATAACCTTTGCTTCTTAGCAGAATGACTTTTTGAAAATAGACATTGAAAAGTCATTCGTGTTTGATTTTCAAACACATCAGCAATTCCTTGGGATGAGGACCTGAAGATAGGGGGTCAGTTGTCTGCTGACAGAGGTCAGCAATGTGTCAGCCATAGCATTTTTAGTCAAATATCTTTATGAATAGACATGCCATGGGTAACATTCAGAGAAAAATATTCCAGCTCTACATTGTGGTGATGATATAAAATGATCAAATACTTTGAAAGAACAAGTAATGCTGAGATTGCTATTTTACTTTCTTAATCACTGGATTCAAAATTACAAATCAAAATAATAATCCCACCAGCTGCTCATTCTCATCATACATTATGTTTCTTGAACAATATATTTGCTTCAGCAGTTAACATATCTACTCAAACTCATGATTTGTTAGATATTGATGTTCTCACATGTTGCAGCAAGCAAACAGGTTGGCGTTAGTGAGCACCACACTAGGTTTTAATAATGAAATATGAAGAGCACTTCAGTCAGCAATGCTTACTTTACACAGGGCAATTTTAAAATATAAATTAAATAGGTTAAAAGCCTTTTTATTTGTTTGTTTATGGGGCTATTTTGTTGTAGTGATGACAAAAAAAGATGCATTTAGACATTTTCTATACCCTTCAGAAATAAACAGAGTTCTACTAAAACTGTAAATGCATCCTATGATACAGGGACTGGACAGCACGATCTCATCAGGTGTAACACATGGACACCATGTTCACACACAAAAAAAAAAATATTTTAGTGTAACCTTGCAACAGCAATTACATTTGTTTAATCACAAATAGAGCTTGCTATCACACAGCTCAGTGAAAATAAAAAAGTTATAGATTGCTTTCAGTCAAATTGCTTGTCATATAATTTTTAAATAGCCATGATAAAAATGAAAGAGACACAGGGTGAAGGTAACGTAATGAAATGTATCATGATAAAAACATCCAGTAGTACTCAAGTAGTAGGCATGGTGCTCATGTTAACCAAGTAATGATGCATGTAATATATATATATATATA